GATAGAAGGCAGGGTAGAGATAGAGGAGATGGGAGAGTGGAGAGGGAGAGTGAGAGAGATAGAGTAAGGGACAGAGGGAGAGGGAGCGCGAGATGGAGAGAGAGAGAGGGAGATGGAGAGGGATAGGAGGGAGAGAGGGAGACAGGGAGAGGGAGAGGGAGTGAGGGAGAGGGAAGGGATCTAGAAGGAGGAGAGGGAGAGGGAGAGGAGAGGGAGATGTTGAAGGAGATAGAGGGAGGATGAGGGAGAGGGAGAGGACGAGCGAGAAGGGAGAGGCGAGAGTGAGAGGGAGACGGGAGAGTGAGAGATAGAGGGAGAGGAGAGGGAGATGAGAGAAGAATGAGGGCAGAGCGAGAGGGAAGGGGGAGGCGAGGGAGAGTGTGAGGAGAGGAGATGGGCAGAGAGCAGAGAGAGGAGAGGGCGAGGGAGAGGGCGAGAGGAGAGGTAGAGGAGAGGGAGAGGGAGAAGGAGAGGAGAGGAGAGGAGAAGGAGAGTGATGAGTGAGAGGGAGAGAGAGATAGAGGGAGAGTGCGAGTGAGAGCATAGAGGGAGAGGGAGCATGGAGAGTGAGAGAGAGAAAGATGAGACGAGCGAGGAGGAGAGGGATGAGAGGAGAAGGAGAGGGAGAGTGTGCGAGGCGGAGAGGGAGAGGGATGAGGGAGAGGGAGATGGAGAGGAGATGGAGAGCGGGAGGGAGAGAAGAGAAAGATGGGAGAAGGAGAGGCCACTCTATAACTCGGCCCCTAATTGACCTAGCGCTACCAAACTTGGTATACTTACACATCTTCGGGAGAAGGTCTGTCGCATACCAAAAACAACCCAGTAAAACCCCAAAAAAACAGTAAGATTCTTGTTATAGTGTGTTTTCACCACTGACCTTGACCTTAGTTTGACGTTGACCGTCGACTTAGATTTCTTCTTCAGCCTCCTAGGGTAACCAGATTCGACATACTTGCACATCTGAGGCGGATCAGTTGTGTAACAAACCTTTGTCTTTGGGACTTATTTAACTTACCTTCTACGTCCTTACAGAGATATTTTATTCATACTAGATCACGGGGGATACATGTAGTTGGCGACAACTGCCCTTTCTAGTTTAGATTTGATTCTCCGTCGCAGCTTCCACCGTAAATGACGGTGCGGACTCACGTAGACTCTGTGTTTTCTTACAGATTACAGATTTGGCATGTCGTGTGTCTCGTGTGGAGCGTATACATAGCAGCAGCTGTAATACATGCATGGCAGATACAGCCCCACCCTGGTTAATCTGCATTGCATAGCAACACACGTATAGTATACGCAATGGATATACGCAGAGAAAGAAATAACTACTCTCTCACAGTTTAGGCAATGCTGACAGCATCTCAAAGAAGAAATTCCCAGACGAATGACATCTGCTCGTGTTTAATTAAACACCTGGGGGCTCTGACAGGGTAACAATCGTGGGACCATGATCCACGTGCGGCGGACGGCTATCGGTTTATTTAGATTTGATTCTTCTTCGCAGCTTCCACCGTAAATGTCGGTGCGGACTCACGTAGACTTCCTGTGTTTCCTTACAGATTAGCATGTTGAACAACAACGTTAAGGCGCAGACCACGGTCGGATTCATGCATTCACTAGCGGGATCGACGCGCCGGTACAGCCAAAGACATGGAGCAAAACGTATACGATTCCAGAGGAGTTACCGTCGATCTGTTCTTGTACGGGGACCAGGCTGAGCATGGGCGGTATACCATCAAGGTAAATCTATACAGAATTATACAAGGTATAATGTCCACTCATCGCATCGAACCTCAGTAAGATAGTGTTAGCACCTTAGCGTTATATCTGTGTTGCTCTCCCTTATAACGGTGCAGGTACAATATAATGTGTAATACAATATTTATAATATAGTTTTTCACGTATACAGGTATGGCTTTCTACGACAAGGTGCATGTGGGATTGTTCCGTATTAAAAACAAGCTCGTGTAGCTACCGTAGTAAAGTAAGTTTTGTTAGGGTTTTACGAAATCGAATTGAGGGATTTGTAATACCGATTTTCTCGAACCGAATCGCATGCGAAAGTAGATCATTTCCTGACGACTCGATCACCTGTATTCTCTCTTCTGTACACGTGCAGCCTGGCACCTTCATCAAGGTTCTCAACTGCCACGTGAAGGCGGTGAATGCGACGCGGGAGGCGACAGAGGTTGCGGCGAGGGGCATCAAGCTCGTTGACTTCATGCTGCACGCCGGCATCACTGCCGGCAGGAGAATCACGTGCATGTCTGCGGACAGCAGCGAAGCGCGAAAGCTCCAGCTGTGAGTGCTTAACGTTAGGGGGGGACGTAGGATTTCAGTTTAAATAGAACTGAGCAGCCAGGGTCATTGTCATGGTTAACGTCAGTGGAATGTCAGAGAATTTAAAGAAGACTGAGTCAGGGGCTTGTTGTCAAGAAAAAATGTTCTTAATGGTACTTTTTTCTTGTGGTCTATACACTGCATAAAGATAACTCATAACTTGTAACAATGTTTCTCTCAACGGTGTAAGAGAAAAAAATAATGATAAGATTAATGTTTAGACTAATTTGGTTGTTTTTGACAACGGAGTTCTGGGGATGTATATGATATTAGCCCTCAAAGCGAACTGAGTCACAGGTGTGTGCGATCCTCTTATTGCTTTGTTGAGCTAGATCATTGTTCAACGTTATTTATCAGGCAGTCAACAACAGCTTTGTGCTTTTGTCTGCGCATAAGCATGCACTCACAATGCACACAAGCATGTCTACGTGTATCCAGAGTATCTCCTGCTATTACAGGCAGATAAAGGACTACACTCACAGCCACGGGCAGAACGACTTCTCTGCAGAACAGCCAGCAGGGCACTAGTGCGAACGTAAGGTCGAGCAGCTGTGTAGATTTCACTCCTCTCGGACTCTATCCCCACGTCGAGGTGAATACTGCACGCACTGCTCGTGTAGCATATAGCACTTGGCGCGTTCACGTCGCAATACCATAAATGATAGCGTAAAGCCGTAAACACATTGCCAACGTCGCTCAGATTAACTGTAAATTTGTAGTACTCATTCTAATGGATAGGTAAAACACATCGCGAAACAATTCACGCTAAATTCAATTTATAAGCATGAAAGCTTTCGTATATTTCACCATCTACAGTGTTTGCAGAGAAGTTGTTATGTATATTTCAGGAGCCAGACACAGCCAGTGAGGTAGTATTTGCACGACCGAAAATAACCAGCACCCAGTTGAGTTCGGTAGGTCCATAGAATATCACACATGTATCATGATTCTTGATCCTGTTCCATATCAGGATTGCATTATGAGCTCAGGGCACGAAATTCAGATTTTTTGTACCGGTCCAGAGTGCTGGTAGCAGCATTTTTTTAACAGCCCTCACCATAATTTGCCAGCCCTCACAAATTTTGTTTATAAAATAAATTTCATGTTTCACGCTTGCATTCTTGATCAAATTTGTAAAATGTTGATCAATTATAGAGTGATATCCTTCAGGTATGTAGGTTATTTGCTCATTAATGCTATAGATGAAAATATTGGTACTCGCTAACACGGCTGAAACCACCGGCTCGGAGGGCCGGTCCTTTGCCAATGTTACTGCATGGCTCTCCAAATAATTTGCCGGCATATGCCGGTGGGCCGGTGCTAATTTCGCGCCCTGTGAGCTGGAGTTATTATATGAACTTGTATGTGACAGTTATTATATGAACTTGTATGTGCAGTTATTATATGAACTTGTATGTGGCAGTTATTATATGAACTTGTACTGTGGGAGTTGTTATATGACTTGTACAACGTAATAATGACGTCATTGGTGAATCGTTGCATTGGGTCGTCATTTTTACGACTCTCCGTCCGTGTTGATTGCTTGTCTTAATTGTCTGCTTTCATCATCGGATTAAATGAGATTGCTATAAATTAAATCAGCATCTAGTGTTCACGGAACTGAACTCGGCGGTAGACCATTCGTTTACGTGCCATGATGCTCTACCGTACTGGAATGCTTGCTCCATTTGATACTAATACACTACACGTATATCTACCCATCTGTGCCGAAGGCGTAAGTCTTACAGGATGTTTGTCGTTCATAGCAGACGTACAGAGAGCAAAAAGCCCTCGCTAACAGCAGCAGACGTCACAAACTCTGCTACCAAAGATCGTTAAGAGTGAACAACGATAAACCACTCATGCGAAATCACGCTGCAATGACGCTGTAGTACGGCAATGGAGCGCCACTTCCGCCATTTTAGGACGCAAAAACCCGCTCCGCGTGGCTGTTGATACATTAGAAATAATTGGATAACCAGGTTAATATAATAATGTATATTTATACATATAATGTAATAGATAATATTTTTTATGCCAATAAGGCTGCGTATCACATTCTCTCATTCAAGTGCTACAAAAATCTAACAATGATTCATAACTCGATTTACTATGTAGTATGTACACAGTGCAGGATGCCAGCTAAGTGGTGTAGGGAGTGACTATACGCACGGCGGACGTTTAGAAGCGGAGAAGGTGGTGGAAGGAGGGGGAAGAAGTGGTGGAGAAGAAGGAGGGGAGAAGCTGGTGGGGAAGGAGGAAAGAGGAGAAGGAGGGGAGAAGGGAGCTGGTGGAGGAGGACGGGGGAGAAGGGGAGAAGGGACGCTGGTGAGAGGAGGGAGGTGAGAAGGGAGAATAGGGGATGAGGGCAGGCGGGACGAAGGGAGCTTGGTGGAGGAGGAGGGCGGACGAAGGGAGAAGGGGAATAAAGGAAGGGGAGAAGGGGAGCTGGTAGAGGAGGAGGGGGAGAAGGGATGAATGGGATAAAGGAGGAGGGTGAGAGAGAGCGAGGCTGGTGGAGGAGGAGGGGAGAAGGGACGAAGGGTTGTGGACGGGGGAGAAGCTGCGTGGAGAAGGAGGAATGGGTGACGAAGAGGAGAAGGTGGGTGGAGAATGAGAGATGGGAGAAGGCTGGTGGAGAAGGAGGTGGGGGAGGAAGGCTGGTGGGAGGAGGAAGGGGAGAAGCTGGTGGAGAAGGAGGGAGGGGAGAAACGCTGTTGTTAGCTTGCCTGCCTCATCTCGCACCGCAGCTTCTTGCCCTTCCTCCTCTCACAGCTCCCTTCCCCCCTCCTTCTCCCTTCCTCTCTCCACCGTTCTCCCACTTCCTCGCTTCCAGCAACCTGCTTCCTCTCCCCTTCCTCCTTTTCTCGACAGCCGCTTGCTTCCTATCCTCCCCCTTCTCCTTTCCACGCGCTCTCTCCTCCTTCTCACTCTGCTCTTCTCTCTCACCGAGCTTCTCGCCTCTCCTCCTTCTCCACCGAGCCTTCTCACCAATATCTCCCTTCCTCATTCCTAGCCACATTGAAGTCGGCATACGGCCGCACGTTGCGTATAGCCTATTGATCATTAATCCACACGGCCGCCGTGCGTATTCAACTGTATAGTCTGGCGGCGCAGTGGTATAGCGTGCTCAGAGCAGTGGGTACAGTCACGCAGGTGCAGCTGCATGGCTACTTATTGGACCGTCTCAACAAATAATGGTAATTAAACACTAAATGTAATCTACTATCAAACGTATTAACTGTTTCTTCTACTCTATTTCGGCCTCTATTAATTGTCGATAATTGCTGTAATGCCGTTTAAAATGCTCATCATGCAACACCACCGAAGTAGTGAAGTACACCGCCACGTAGCCCTGTGCACAAACAACACTGCCACTGGTACTACATGTATCAACGAAAGATTGAGCACAACTCTTTCACGAATGGATATTCGACAAAAAAGAATTGTTTTCTCACCTTCTCCGTATTCTTGGGGAACGGCTGAAGAAGACAGGTCGGGCTTACACTGACGATTCGAGCAATTTATCAGCCAGAACAGTAAGCCCTGAGCTGAACCAGCACACAGCAGACAGTTTCACAATAGCAGAATACAAGCGGCAAAAATAAACCAAATCCCGGGAACATTCGTGGTGAACTTGCTTCCCAAAATGGCGGTTTGTGGCGACCCAATGACCTACTACGCGGCTAATGATTGGAGATGGTCTATCTTGTGCCTACCGGCACTCTAGAATCTTTGCTTCTCGTACCTGTACAGGTGCTGCGACGCCTAGCCACAGCCCCCCAATGGCACTGAAGTACAGTGTTGCTTACAGAAAGCGAGTTTATTTATAAAATTATTACCAAATTG